ATTACAGACATGACAGCAATGAAAAATGGGTAGAGCTGTGAAGATAAAGGCACAGTATAGATGTCAGAGGAAAGCAACAAAAATGTGGTTAGAACTGCAAAAAAAGAAAAAGGATGTTTTACTACAAAGAAGGTGATCAAAAACACAATGTGCAGTCGTTTAACCAGGCAATCTGTTCTGCCAAGATGAAAAGATGTCCCCAACATTTACTACCTCAAGGACAACTTGACTTCCTTTGACTATCTGCAGACTTCAGTTTCTATGTTTTAATTTCTCTCCCTACAAACAGCATTAGAAAGTCTTATAACCAACAAGCAATCCAGAAACTATGCAAATTGTATCTGTCTCAATGGTAAAACCCTTCTTTAGTCTGTATTGTCAGAGAAAACCACAATTCACCGTCACTGGGAAATACTGTTTCTTTACCATGCAGACTGCAGAGCCAGTGTAGGTGTCTGTGACCCTGGTGCTGGGTCCCTGGTGGCACTTCCAGGGCAGCAGTGATGGGCCTTTCCAGAAGGTCAGAGCTCAGCCTGAGCTCAGGCCCCGCTCACCTGCTTTGCGTGTGTCGGCAGCCACACCGGGGGGTTTGGCATCTCGGATCAGGTCCAAGTTTGTTTCATCTCTTCCTTCTCTCTCTTCAGGAACAACCATGCTGGCCTTCTCTCTAAGGAACCACAAACAAACACACACTAAAAACTGCAAATATATGAGAAAAATACACCCAAATAGTTTAACACCCTTCATCCAGATGTAAAATATATACAGTCTAATCCTAACTGCAGACCCGATCAGAACTGCACTTTACCAGGTTTTCCACATTGTTGGGCTAGATGCTGTATTTCTATTTCAATTATCAGCACTTTTTAGCAGCTGATTATTTTTTTATTTCTAGAACTTCTCAGAGCATAATAAACAAAGGCACTAATAACTAGTAATAGCACTATAACCTGATGAGAAGATACTGTCAGTAAAAATACTGTCTTATACAGTCCAAGGAAATAATTATTTTGTTTCCCCAACTGACTTAGGTTATAAAGGCCTTAGGAATTATCTTACAAGAAATGCTACTTGCAGACAAAAAGACAATTACAAAAATGAAATTCACAGAGACAATGAGGGGAAAATCCAAGTGGTGCTGTTCAGCCTTAGAAGTTTAATATGAAATCCCGCTAAAATTAATAAATAAAATGGGGGTTGACTTTTTGTTGATTCTCAGTGGAAAAGGTCTCTCAACACCTGAAAAACAATTGAATTAAAAGTTTATTTAAAGCCTTCACACAGTTAAGAACTTCACTCTATTTGAAGTGTAAGCATGTAAGGGAATGACATGGAACACTAATATAAAGGTGGTTAAACTAATTGTGTTACCGAATGAGTTTTTCAAAGGCCTCCTTCTCTTTCCTCAGAGCTGTGAGATAACGCTGCTCTTCTGTGGAGCCCCCATATATGAGGAAATAAACTCTGTAGGTATGAAAGAGAAAAGAAAATCCTTACAGAACTTCATATTAACTTAAAAACACCCACAACCAATATTTAAGATTAGTAGCCTGACAAGTCAGTCTATAGTATATTAAAGTTTTCTATATTTTTAATTAGTTTGTGAAATTTATTCATAAAAGTGAGTTTGGCAATTTACAGGTGTATCAAATACCTATACACAGTGTGGTGACCTTTCTGTCAGCTAGAACAAAGTATAACTGCAAATACTTCTCATTTTCTTTATTGTGTTTTCCTATACTTGTTTTTCTGTTACAGTTTCTGAATTACTGGTCTTCAGCATTGCCAACATCAGGAAATGTGAACATGAATTAAACCCAAAATGAATCTTATTGTGTAAAAATCATACCCACAGAAATGGTTTAAAATGAAACTACACCACCACAAAATGATCTACTGCCCCTAACATCATAGAAGCAGAAGTTGAAGAAGATGGAATGAACTTTGGGTTTTTTAACAGGTATGTTTCTGCCCTAAGAGACTAAACACCCTCTGGAAAGTAAAAATTATCTTTTGGTTACTCCAGACATTTTGCTTTTGTTTAAAATTAGGAAGAGGGCTAAACAGGAATTAAAGGGTAGCTGAAGAAAATGAACAGCTGCACGTTCTGCCTTGACTGCTGACAGTGCACTTTTTAGTTTTTAAGACTAGAACTACCAAGTGAACTTGCCTCAGAGGCTTCCCAGGCCTGCTGGCCTTGTACATCTCCAGCTGGCGGACAAAGGTGAGCTCTGCATCGTATAACACCACATATCTGGGCTCCACCTCGTGCAGGACGCGGGTCAGGGCGTAGGGATCCCCACAGCTCTGCAGCGGGTGGATGATGGTCAGCGGGTCCTTGAAAATCCCATAGTAACAATCCGAGGGCAGGTTCACATCAAAATCTTCAGGAATGGCCTCTTCACCGCTGCTTTCTTGGCTACTGCTTAATTCTTTGTTCTCTTCCACCTCTAACTGCTCTCTCTTTTCCTCCTCGGTTTTCCCCATCATTTGGATTATAGTCCGGTCTTGTTGCTTCTTGTGTTTCTTTTGTTTTGAAGAAGCTGCAAGTTTGCCTTTTTTGGCTTGAGGCCCTGGGTCTGGTTTGGCATTTCCTTTGGACTTGATGGCTTTTCTGTCTGTGATCCATACTTCTCCAGCTTTCTCATCCTTTCCGAAGGTTTTGTTATACAGCCTCGTTAAAAAAGCTTCTGCCCCAGCAATAATAAACTCCCTGAGCTGTGCACAGGCTCGGTCATCGCTGGCACAAATGAGCACTTGCCCTGCAGTCAAGAAACAATATCATGTTTACACCCTGTAATGCTGTGCTTCTTTTCCACCTACAAGGCATCTCCTGAGCAAATTGGTTTTACTGATCCTGGAAGTAATGCCTGCCAAAGACTTGTGTATTTGGTTGTCACAGTTGCTCTGGACTTTGAGAGAAATATAAAGTGCATGGGCATTTTGTACCAAACAAGATTAGAGGAGATTAATGGAAGTTCAGCATTCCTTATTCTCACAACGTCTAAATTTGTGAGGTTTTCCTTCTGGCCATCTGAAACATAGTGTGTATTGAAACATACTCACAACTACTTCTTTTTAATATGTGGAATAAGAGAGAACTTAATTTAGACCAGTCTAATTTTCAGCCTTTGTCAGCTGTGATAGAAAGTCAAAAAATACATATTTCACACAGTATTATTGACATTTGTGGTCTTGAATAACAATTCTCCACAAGCTGACTCAGATAAACTCCTACAACACTAGGTGAGAGAGCCAGTTCTTATGCAGTCAGAACACTGTGGGTGGGAGAAAAGAGCACTTTTTTACCCTTACTATTTCCTAAAATAAAACTTGCTGAAATTTAAGGGGCTGAACAGCCCTAAAATAGGAAAGGCAGCAAAGCAGTTAGACTCTCTACCCTGCATTCTAATCTCTACCCCATTTATATGCATCTCCTGGAGAGGCAAATTTTCAGGTGCAGGAGAAGAATGTGTGAGTTAGAAAGGGCACTTCTTTTGAAGTTGAACTTGAGAAATGAGTGAATGGTACCTTGATTATTATAAATTTCCACATCAATTTTATTGGGCTTGGAACTAAAGTATCAGTCTAATATTGAAATGTAAGTTAAAAAAAATTCTCAGAATAATAAAAATTCTCTTTCCTAAACTGTATTGCATAGTAACCAACACAAATTATTAAATTTAAACTATCTCTTTGATAAAACTGCAGTAAAGAGTTAGGTTCCCTCTCTCCAAAGACAAGCAGAAGTGCAAACCAGCTGTACCATGAAAACTTTCATCATTTAGTATTCTCTCACCTGGACCACCAAGGTTGTCACTGTTCTTCAATCTCTTTCAGTACTTCTCTCAAAGCTTCCCATTTTGGGTTACTTTCAAGAACCAATTCCCTTTTCAGTTCTGAAACAAAGTAAGATTGAACATAGCAGCTCTTACAGCCAAAATCTCCCTCAGACTTTAAATTAGTGGTTAGATGTCAATAGCGTGATGGCTGTTGGCAAATATGATATTCAACAGCCTACATATGCAATGTGTTATGTTACTGGGTTGGAGAACACTCTTAACTTTAAAAATGGGGATAAGTGCTCTAGTGAAGCAAAAAGTTGCAATATTCACTTATTCTTCAATTCTGAAACTCCTGGGTATATTTTTTTAAAAAAAGCTACCCCAGCCTCCTACCCGTTCAAGTAAAATCATAAAGATCAAGCTAAACACCAGTGCAACACAAGAATTCCATAAAAGCTCTCCCAGTGATCAGCTGAGCAAGCTTAGGAGAACCCCTTATTTCTTCATGACTCTTGTATGTTGTTTATTCCATGCTTTTTGAACTAAGATTATGTCTCAGCTTATCCCAGCTAACAGATGGAGATCCTGAGCTGGGTTACGTTCACGTAGGGAACCAGAGCCCCAGTAATAACATGCAAAGCACTTGAAATCGTGACACTCCCAAACTTAAAATTCGGAATGATCAGTACCATTTTCCTTCTTCACATCACGTTTTTCAGAGCCTTTGCCTTTCTGACTCAGCTTCTCCTCTGCGACGCGATAAACTCGAGCCCGAGCGTTCACAAACATCGAGGTGCTGGCGTCAAGGAACAGCCAACCTGAGGGGAGAGGAGAGGGAAGCAGCACTAGTTGGACATCTGCAATGGGGATGTGTTTCAACCCTGTGCAGCACGAGCCCCAAACCTCTCATCTGGAATACCTGTGCTACCTGCTTGCTGTGCAATCACCAGCTTAATAAGAGACAAATGTGATGCAAATCTGCCCCTGTTAAGTAACAGCAGTTAGGTGGGAAGATGAAAGCATTATCTGTCAATAAAAACCTACGTCCTTATGGCTGGTTATGTAAAGCCTAATTAGGTACCTTCAAATGTTTGGGAATGCTAATTAAAAACATCAACATTTCACTGTTTCATGCATTGACTTGTATGGATCTTGAGTGTTTACCTGAATTCTCACCAAAAGCTTTTTCACTTGCTTTCAGTGACTCCAGAAGATTAAGGAAGGTGACACAATCATACTGAGTGAGATACAGCAGCAAAGTACGGAGTATCTTCAAATCCTGGACCAAAGATTTTGTCTTAGCTCCAAGCTGATGCCAGAGAGGATCTAAATAGTGACGTATTGTCTAGAAATATAAATTGGAAAGTTCAGGATGTCAAATATATAGTACAGTAACCATGCTAAAAATGCACTTTTTTTTTTCCTTTATAGGGGATGCCATTAGTTTCCTGAAGTTATTAAATTAAAGACCTGATGGTAAGGTATTTTTTTTATATAAGTTATCATTTTTTAGCAAAGTTAACATAATATAGATGCCTTTATGTAAAATATTTCAGCAATTAGCAGATGTGTATCAATTAATGCTTTCAGTACACTTTTTCCTTTCCATCTAATAATAAAACACTGGTACAATACTCCCTCCCACCCTTAATTTACTGGCACTGGCCTGTAAAGCAGAAACCATTCTAATGGCATTTAATTTCCAAAATAAGGTTGGTACCATGCAAATGTGCAACCTGTAAAGCTTAAGGAAAAAACCTCCAGATATTTAAAGTACAGAAGGCCTTACATCAGGATTAAATAGTAGTTAAGAAATAACTGTGTTTCACTATGACGGTTGAAGTTTATGATTTCACCTCACAGAAAGCACATGTATGCCAAACATTGCACATCTGCACAAACAGCAGTGAACACACAACTACTGACATATATAATGATTAAAGATACAGCAGATGCATGCATGTGCATGTTGTCTACTATATACTTGTGCTTCTCCTACTAGAGGAAATGGAAACACAAATAGGAAAGAAAACCTTGAATCAGGATGTTCTTGCTGTAAGACTTGGGAAATGAAGGAAGAACAATAACACCTATACACCAAAAACCCTACTGGCAACTGTCACATCACTATTACATCACCTGGTACCACTAATAAACATGTCATGGGAGAACACACAGCTGCTGAAGGTTATTTATTTTACAAATAAAATTTCTGTTTGCATGGCAGTTTAAAGATCTACATCCTGTTAGTTAGACACTGCAAAACAATCAGAATGGTTACCTTGTCAAAAGGTTTTCCAATAGCATTTTCTAAAGAGAGATCTTCTACTTCAAGAACTGGATTATAACGTTTGAGTTCTCTCAGACAGGCATTCAAAATGTCCAGGATTGAGGTCTGGATAGCAAGCATAGCAGGGGTCATTGCCACATGTATTTCCACCACTTCAGGTTTATGCTTCTCTAAAAATGAGTTCACTGCTATATGAAATCTAAGAGGAAAACAGCTTATTAAGATTTACATGGAAAGTTTTCTTGACCCACAATTACTCAAAAGTTTGTATAAACTACAATTACAATTGTTTTAAATGTGAACAAGTAAGTTAATTCCAAAGTAAATCAGATTCTACTGATGTGAAGACTGCAATCTTATGAACAGCCTCAGAAAACCATCTGTTCCACAATGATGACTGGAGGCATTCTAGACATGTGAGCCTATAGGGCTGGTGAATGAGCCATGGAAAATGACTGCACTAGATTCTCCATCACCAATACACAAACAAATACTAAAGTAAACCCAAAAAATCTCATAAGGGGGAAACAGAACAGGCTCATGAATTCTTTGAAATCAGACACTGCACCAGCAGGTTCTGTGACATTCCCAGCTTGCAAGGATGAGCAGCAGGTCCTTGTTGGAACCCTCCCCTGCAGCCCCTCAGCTGCACAGGCACAGACATGTCACTGCCTTTCCCTAACAGGGAGGCTCAGAGAGCCCAGTGCCTGCCAACCTCTGGAACTCCCTGGGCATCTCCCTTCCCACACACTGCACCCCCAGGCCTTGCCATGGCTCAGAAGCCAAGGAAGAAAACGTAGCAAGATTTATCCAACCTTTCTTGCCCTAGTTATGTCCACTTCTACTTCCCTGGGATACTGGAAGAAAGACTGTTAAAAAAAGAGTTTACAAGGCAGAGTGACAGTTCATTAAGATGGAGTGAAACACATTCTAGCCTGGAACAAATGGGCAGAGCTCCTGCCCAAGGCAAGAGCACTGAACGGGTCAGCAGATAAAGGGTCCAGTTCCACTTGTGGCTCTGCTTCTGAATGACTTAACACGTGCCACAAACCTGGCAATTTGCTTTTAATCAGTCATCAGGAAATATTCTTCATACACAACATACATGTAAAAGAAGATTAAAAAAATCTGACGTAGAAAGATCCATGGAGTTTCACCACAGCTGGAAACAAATACTTCCCTGAATGGAGAACTGAGAGACTGTGTTCTTGTTACTTCATGGCTTAAATACTGTTTAGTAAGGGAAGCTTTTCTTGAGCTATTAGGAGTGTCACCTTCTGCTGTGATTTCTGTTGGCTTAAAGGCCAGCTCTGCCATAAGGTTCAGCCCCTTACAGAGTTAATTTGAGTCTATTTTCAAAAATACATGCAGAAAATTAGCATCTTCAAGACCACTTCAGTCAAAACCTGACTGAAATTTGTTTGGGGACATAAGAGGGAACACCCCTAAGCAGTGTGACTGCATACACCTCATTTTCTGAGGAACCCATCTAACATCCTTCACCTTCTTTTAAGTTTAACTCTCCAGTGGAGTAAAGAAGTGCCTCACCTTGGCCACAGATAAAGCTTACTGACAAAAAGGTTTTTCATCACTCTTTCCACGTGGCAAAAGCCAGTGTTAAATGCAACAGCATTATCTGTAAAAGCTTTAATGAAGCCTTGCTTGTTCTTCTGGCGATACAGTCGCAGGATAAATGCTTCCTGGCAGGACTCGATGATTCTGTGTGCTTTGTACACCAAAATGCCTGGCAAAATAAAACATTTTCAAGTTACAAGAAGTTAAGAAAGGTCCAACTTTGTATAGAATTTTCCTCATAACTGTCTTATTCTTCTAATATTCTTTGGATTATAGGAATTTAAATCTTCTAAAATGAGTGTTGAACAAACTTTCTGGGGTTCGAAAAAGTGACTCCTCAGTTTCAGTACCACAGAACTGCCAAATAACAGAACTGGGTTAATGATGCATCTTTAATAAAAAAAAAATTAAAAAAATCTTGTGCTTGAGTGGCAGGACTTATTAGCTTAGAAAATTCTTTACTCCTGAGGCATAACTTGAACTTGAGCCTTTGAAAAGGAGGAAAAGCAAATGCACGACAGAACACACTGTTACAACACAGCAAGTTTGACACTTTCAAGTCTGTGATATTTGCATTCTTTTGTTAGAGAAATTCTGGAATTAGTCTGGTCAAGTATGTTTCATTGGTAACAGTTCAAGTGTTTACACATTCAAAGAACATCTGAAAACATTTGTTTTGCTTTTCTCCTCCTTCTGATAAGTCATATTCACTCTTAAGGACAGCAAATACCATCAACTGTATGAGTCCACCCCCAGTTTTATTCAGGGCTATGGGGGTATTAGGAATAAAAGATTTATCAAGCACATTTTAGTAAAGAGAAATGAAACAACAATTTAATTTAATTAGGTGTTCGAGACAAATACTTCTGGGATTCACAGTTCACTCAGCCAAGACCTGTTAAACTCAGGCTTATTTTTTCCTCCCACTTAATCATGTTAAATAGCACACTGCATTCTTCCCTCTCCCCTGCTGAAGTGAGGCCTATGTGGTAACTCTTATCTGTTCACAGCTTGCAGTGGAATCATAAATGCCTTTCTGAAAAGGAAGCAAAGGACATCAAACATCACAGGTTTTACCTCGTACCTACATAAGCTCATAAATTTACAGCGCATTTAATTCTGCAACAAGTTTCTTCAACTCAGCACCTAGACATTGATTTTAATATGCCTTTGCTTGGTAAATGAGAAAGCATCTAGAAAAAAAAGGCTTCCATATAACTGCTAGCCATTCATGATTAAGTCATGGAATAATCCACTACAAGGTATTTTTCTATCTAGACATTGTTAGATCTGTCCCAAGAAGCAAATTTTTCAGCACATAATAATGATCACACACATTTCTGAACAACTTCCAGTTTGTCAAGATGTGACTCAGAATGGACATGAGAGGGGACAACCAATTTGTGACGGGCCAGTAAGACTGTGTGTTTATCATAATACCTTCCAACTTTCACTCAATATATGTCTGCTTATGGAGTGAGTTTGTACCTGCTCTGTAAGCCCTTTATTACCACTTTTTATTAAACCCACTTGCATCAGTCTTACTGTGCTGCCAAGTACATCATTTTTACCTGGCTAAAACTACCAGGAATAATTGTTCTTTACTGCAGTGATAATTTCTTATCTCCATTTAGCTGGACTTTATGAGTTCATCAGATGTTAATTCACACGTGATTCTACACTGATTTTATAAACAACATTTATAAAACCTAAAAACACTTTTTCTGTGTTACCTCCTCAAGAAACACTATTACAAGTTTTTGTTGGTTTGGCTGTACAGTCTCACACACAGGTAAGGTACATGGAACCAGGTGTTGGGGAAGCTGGAAATGAAGCAGCTGGTCTATCACAGCTGCTCTGGCACTGACCTCTGGTGGCAATGCAAAACCTGTAAAAATAGCTCTGTAAAAATAATGTGCATGTTTTCAAATGGTTTGATTAAATAAGACAAACAAGTCTGGAGCAAAGAAAACCATTAAAAATATGAAAGAACTACATATTTGCTCTTTTTATCTCAGTCTTGGGGGGAAGGAAAGGAAAAGTTCTTCGATAGTGGTTAGTAGAACTCTTCATATAGAATTAAGTTTTATGTATGTTCAAACAGAACACTTTTACCCTCATTTCATTAAACTCTTACCAGTAATGAGGTTGGCAGGAATTCTGTCAGTAAGGAAATCCACCACCAGGATCCGACTTGTTGCAAAGATGACTCCTCCTTGTGTGTAAAATTCGTACCGAGTATTATTTGCAATTTCATTGGTAACACGCCGAGGAAGGTGAACAGCTCCATCTGACCTCAGCTGGTCAATAAAATACTCCTAAACCGAATACAATAAAAACAAAGACATAATCGTGGTAACTAATGAAATAAACACATTTATTGGATGCAATAAACACCTTTATTATGCATACCCTGCCAATTTTGAGGAGCAATCCAAAACAAATTAAAACATGATAGTATAACATACTAAAGGAAGTCATAATTATCATGATTTTTTTCTTCTTTGATATACTTTGTTCAGTTTCAAACTCATCTGGGTGATTTAAAATCTACGTATTGTCAGTAGTAGCTAGAAAATACGTAAGTAAATATGAGCAACTGACACTCAAAAGAGCTCACACTTTCCTGTATTTCCATTTTCAGAGAACATGTAATTTTAATACTGCCTTAAGAACAGCGAATTGGGAAGAGTTCATCTTCTGGTGCCCTCACCTGCTATCAGACAACTACAGCAGGTAGGACCTATATATGAAGTTTAATCTTACAAACTAGAGCTGTGATATTTATTCCCCTATGGCCACTTATAAAAAGTCCCCAGGACCTCACCTCCCTGATGGTGGGAAATCTCCCTGGTTCCAGGGAAAAAAGAGCAGCTATTTTTTGTACAAGCAGGGACAAACCTTCAGCAAGTTCATCCCTTTCTGCTCAGTGGTTACTTACAATTATGTACATACGCTTGTTTTAGCTCAGTATTGTTTTTGGGGCTTTACTGTGCTACAGGAGTAGGAATTCAGCTGATGGATCCCAAGTGTGTCTGGTCTGACAGCTTCCTCTAGGACACGGGGTCCTGGGGGACAACCAGCTGTCCCTGAGCCAGCAGTGCCCTCATGGCCAAGAAGGCCAACAGAGTCCTGGGGTACATTAGGAAGAGCATTGCCACCAGGTCGAGGGTTAGGAAGAGCATTGCCAGCAGGTCGAGGGAGGTGATCCTGCCCCTCTACTCAGCCCTGGTGAGGCCCATCTGGAGTGTTGTGTCCAGTTCTGGGATCCTTAGGACAAGAGAGACATGGAGCTCCTGGAGTGGGTCCAGTGCAGGTTGACAAAGAGGATGGGGGGACTCTCCTCTGAGGACAGGCTGAGGAGCTGGCCCTGAGAAGAGACAGCTGAGAGGGGACCTCCTCAATGTCTGTCAGATCTGCAGGGAGAGGGCAGAGGATGGACCGGGCTCTGCTCGGGGGTGCCCAGCAATGGGACGAGAGGGAATGGGCAGGAACTGATGCTCAGGAAGTTCCACCTGAACATGAGGAAGAACTTCTTCCCTGTGCAGTGACCGAGCACTGGAACAGATTGCCCAGAAAGGGTGTGCAGTCTCCTCACTGGGGATACTCCAGAACGGTCTGGACACAGTCCTGTGCCGTGTGCTCTGGGATGACCCTGCTGGAGCAGGAGCAGGAGGTGGGACCAGATGATCCACTGTGGTCCCTTCCAGCCTGACCCACTCAGTGATTCTGTGACAGCGCCCGGCCCGGCCCCGGATCCCGCACACCCACCCCCGGCCCGCCCCCGGCCCCAGGAGCCGCTCGCACCCGAGGCCATGCGGGGCCGCGCCCGCCGGGCCCGAGCGGGGCAGCGCCGGGCGTTGACAGCCCCCTCACCTCCTCGGCGGGGCCGGTGTTGAGTACGAGCACGAGGCTGGCGGGCTCGCAGTAGAGGCGCAGGAAGCGCAGCAGCAGGCGGTCGATGCCGAGCCCGCGGGCGCACACAACGAGCCCGTCCCGGTGGAACAGGTCCAGGAAGATCTGGCTCTCGTGCTCCAGCAGCGCCGCCATCGCCGCGCGCGCCCGCGCACGCGCCCCCGGCCCACCCCTGCCGCGCCGGCGGCGCCCCCTGGCGGGCACGTGAGCGCGGTCCTCCAGCGGCGGCTGAGGGAGAGTGGGGACAGGAGAGAGAGCAGGGACAGGAGAGAGAGCTGGGACAGGAGGGACAGCAGGGACAGCAGGGACAGGAGAGAGAGCTGGGACAGGAGAGAGAGCTGGGACAGGAGAGACAGGAGAGAGAGCTGGGACAGGAGAGAGAGCTGGGACAAGAGGGACAGCAGGGACAGGAGAGAGAGCAGGGACAGGAGGGAGAGCAGGGACAGGAGAGAGAGCTGGGACAGGAGAGAGAGCTGGGACAGGACAGAGAGCTGGGACAGGAGAGAGAGCTGGGACAGGAGGGACAGCAGGGACAGGAGAGACAGCTGGGACAGGAGGGACAGGAAGGACTGGAGGATCCAGAGCCCCCAGCGTGGAAAGCGATGGGGGACAGGACCCACCTGCTCCCCACAGGAGCTGCGCCCCCGATCCTCCTCGTGTGGGCCGTGTGAGCGCCGAGTGTCAGTGTGAGGTAGCCGATCTTCGCCTTTTTTATTATGTGTTTATCATGGCCCGAGGGAATGGCCCGAAGCTGTGTCAGGGGAGGTTTAAGTTGGATCTTAGGAAAGGTTCATCGCCCCAGAAGGTGGTCGGGCACTGAACAGGCTCCTCAGGGCAGTGGTCACGGCACCAAGGCTGACAGAGCTCAAGGAGTGTTTGGACAACGCTCTCAGGGACATGGTGAGATTTGGGGTTGTCCTGTGCAGGGCTAAGAGATGGGATTTGATGATCCTTGTGGGTCCCGTCTGCCTCAGGATATTCTGTGACTCTGTTACTTCTTACCTGGCACCTGTAAGCTAATTTCTTAAGCAGCAAAACAACACTTGACTGAACTTATCCTGCATTCCTCACACAATCCATCAGATCCTCACTGTTTCCTTGGTCCCCAAGGGGTTCGTTTGTTTTGTTTGTGCCCATAGGGGTGAGAGACTCCTTGGACCAGCTTCCAGAGGCAGCTGGAGGTGAAGGACACTGCTCAGAGTTCCCCTGCAGTTCAGCTGAGCATCACAGAATCATAAAGTCACAGAAGGGTTTGGGTTGGAAGGGACCTATTCACTGGGTGTTGATTCCAGTTACTTCTCTCAATATTCAATTGGTAAAATGCGATTATTGGGGCATTGAGTCAACTGTCAAATACATTCAAATAAATAGTTTCAGTTCTTTGTTTCACACTGTCACGTGCTGGCAGCCACAGAAGGTTTTCTTTTGGGTTTTGGTGTTTCTCTAAGTAAGGGTGTACAGCTGCCAGCATGTTCTTTTGCTGCAGACTTGTTCCAGCTGACACCGTTAATGAAGATGCACTTTGCGATGCCTTCTTTGTGAATTTGCCACATGATCAGAATTATGCTACAGAATATTTTAAATTAACATAGGAAAAATTCAAATTATTTACTATCTATCTATCTATCTATCTATCTATGTATTTTAAAAGGCAGTACAGAGCCTCAGGGCAAAGTAGAAAACAAGTTTTTAGAAATCAGAAAAAAAATAAGAAAATACGGGGACTATTCTTAATTTTTCTCATACATGTGTCATATTTCTGAATTTTATGCTGATACCTGCAAACTGGATCACATTGCTGACTGTTGTACCAAATACCATGCTTTGGTACTCATTTTTAGCTGGCTGCTAGTAAGCTCTGTGATGTTTGCTTTTAAAACTTATTTTAGACCACAAAATGTCAGAAAAGCAGTGTTTTTATTTGAACAACATTTCATTTTTATGGATTTTACCGACCAAAACAAAGCCTTACACAATAACACGATGATTACCATTAACATTTCTTACTATTTTTGAATCCTGTATGGAAATCTGTAGCCTAGTAAGGTTACTTCTTTGAGGAATTCCAGTACTTCCAGTACTCCATTCCAGTACTCCAGTACTCCAGTACTCTATATAATTTAGGAATCAGCCGTTTCCTTGAGCTCCTGTTTCCCACATGAATTAGAAAGAATATGTTTTCTAATGGTCCAGCTAAAATATTTCAGGCATCTCTGTAGTATAATTTTATTTTTCACTATATATAGATTTTTATATATTTTCACTTTGGCTAAATATAGTATTAATATAAAGCTGTTGAGAAATGTACTTCTTGTGGGTACACAATTATTAACCAGCAGAGGGCTGTCATTTGTTAACTTAGAAGACCAGAATTTAGTCCTAAATCTTGCAATTCAATTTTGGGGAATTTTTCTTTCCAAAACATTAGAGTAGTATTTAAAAAGTATTCATGTACCCACAAGAAATAACTTGTGTAGGAAAAGGATAAATAAAATTTGTCTACAAATTAGCTATGTAATTTTTGAGTTGGGAATAATAAGCCAGGAGAATGATATTGAGGGGAGTGCATGAATACATTTCTGTATTCAACAATCAAGGTTTGCTTTTAATTTTAAGCAGATTAAAACTCGTGTTATATGTATGTGTAATGAACACCTGGAGTAACTTTAGGGGTTTCATTCCATATAGAATTACAACAAACACAAATTATAGGCCACTTTCAAGCTGATGGATGATATGAGATGGTCAGTGCAGCCCATTATCAACCTCAAGACATTTACTTGATCTTTTAAAAAGGCATTAACAGACCTATTTATTTCATCATATTCACAGCAGATGAAAGTCAGGTTAATTGGCTGGTAGTGCAGTAGAACAGATCCCTGGAGGGGGGATGATTATTTGCCTCACTCGTTATTGGGATCACCAATATTAATGATCTTTATGATACACTTTGGACAACTACTTTTTTTTTTTAATTTTAATTTTGACAAGCTATTAGCCCTTACTGTGAAAGAGAAAAATGCAAAAATCATGACTAAGTCATTAATCTGCCCATTTGTGTAATGACAACAGCCTTATCTGAAAGCTAGTGAAGTTCCTTTGTGTGATATTAATTAACTTTTGTTACTGATCATGTAAAGAGCTGAGGACTCCCTGTGAGAGGAAAACCAATATTTAGATAAGTTATGTAAAACATATTTTGTATTTAAGTAAAACTTCATATTTTCAGGTGTGAAAACGTGGTGAGATTTCCTACTCTGTGGATTTTTTTATTGGGTCTTTGATTTCATTTGTTATTTGAAATACTAGTATTTGTCTGTATATATAAATACACATAAGAAATTGAAAAAATGTGTTCCATAATCTGGGAATTTTTTATAATCCATTTTTTAGCCACATTTATTCATGTTCTTAGAGCATGTAGTTCTGAGGGGGGCACTTCCTGAAATAGATTTTTCTCCAGCAGTCTCCACACAGGACATTCTTTATATGTTCAAAAATATTACCCCTAGAAAAGAAAACCTAATTACTCTTCTTCAGTGAAGCTATTGCAAAAATTAAATATGACATGTTTTTGCTGGGTTAAAAATGGACTCCAATAAAAGACCTGATGTGGGCTCTGCTCTGATGGATAGGGGACATTAGGAAGGGAAAGGTAAGTTCTCATCCCATGCTGGCTCTGCACAGACCAGGAGACCCTGGAATTACTGACTCCTTCCCATTCCCTTCCCCCCGAGGTATAATTGCCATACAAGTGTGTTTGTTCAATGTGCTTTGTCTTAAGTAAATCAGAATTGAATTTAGCAGCTGTTAATTAGTTCCACAGTCTTTTTTTTTTTTTTTTTTAAATTCACAATTGCAAGGCTGGGTTTAAAACTTTAAAGATACATACATACAGTTTGTACTTCAGTACCCTGAACAACCTCAATTTTTATTCCCCCCTCTATTTGTGCATCTTATACAAATAATACACATGCTGTCTGGGTAGAACATCCCATTTTTATAGTTTCTAGAAGAAAAAGTTATGAAATGCAATGAGGTTTCTTTATTGTGGCAATATATAAAAATGACAGATAGATGAAGTGTTTTAATATGTTACTTAAATTCAACTCTGTCATACATTTCTAAGGGCCATGGCCATATTCACTCAGCTTTGCATGTAGAAGAAGGAATTTTACAGATTTCCTCCTTTGCTATGAACAAAAGAAGCAGCAGTTGGTGATGCAATGGGGAATATTTCAACCTGCAAACATTTGCACCATTGTGAGCAGTGTGGATTTGTTGTACAGTAGTGGCAATGCAGATCTGGTTTTGCAATTTTAGTTGAAGATTTGTGTTTCCTGACCATAAGTGAAAAACATATTGATGAAAAGCAGAATGTTCTAAGTGGTACCAGAAGTGTGTGGGGTTTTTTTTGCAATTTTTTTTTAAGTTTGGTAACTTTGGTGATATCCCAGGGGAGGATTTTAGAGAAGCAAAATCAATATCCTTGCTATATTGGTGCTAAATTTTTTATGTTTTATACACAAATCTTTTCTTCTTCTGAACTAATTTTTAGAACCAAACATTATTTTGGGTTGTGCACAATGAGTTTAATCATGTGTGTAACTTGCTGTCTGTTTTGGTCCCCTTTTCTCCAGAAAGCCCAGGGTGTGGTGGGGCAGGATGACAAACTGAGCTTTGTGACTGACAACAGCCATCAAGAAAAGGCTGTGATCACAGGGCAGGATTGGCTGTAGGGTTCATATACTGCCTGTTCACAGTCAGCAAAGAAATGCTGGTGGATTAATGCTAAAGCAAATGGCATTCTGTGAGAATAGTTATTGTTTGCCTCCTGGTTATAAGAAGAGTGATAGAGCAAAATTTGCATCCTGTGCTTTGCTTGACCAAATGTGGTTGTTTGCTCACATCTGACTGATTGTAACGTGGAAAACAGGTGTTTCCTAGAGTTTGTTTTTCATGGGAAGTTGGTTGGTCTCTATGGCTTAGAAGACCCTGAGTAAAAAAAAAAAAAAAGTAGGAAAGGCAAAGTTCACATGACCATAAACCAAAATCCTTGTCACAATTGTTCACAGGCAGGTGTGTGGAATTTTCAGTAACTTTTTAAAAAACATAAATTGATACTTACAAACAACTCCAATAATGACTTATTACTTTAAGATTTAATAAATCAAATGTTTGTAGAATTTTGCTTTATGCACTTGTAATGGGATGGGATGTACCTGAAAAAAAGAAAAATGAATGTTTAATGTTTGACAGGCAGTGTACCTCTGAAACAATATCTGAGTTGGTTTCTTTCTTGGAATTATGTACCCAGAGAGAATCAAGGCTAGTGCATCTGCAGTAATGACCTTGGACATAATTTGGACTAGTAGGTGTAGGCATATTGCATTTACTAATTTTATTCTGCAAACACATTGAAAATTGGTATGATGAAACTCAGAAATAGGTGTTGGGGTTGATTAGGAACAGTAGTGGGATAAGCTCTGGTGTATCAGTGGGCAACCTGCTGCAAAGAAATGACATGAAATGTTTAAAATACTCTGCACTACCCATTAAAACATGTTCATGTAGTACAAATACAGTAAAATAAATTGAGAACATTTCATATAAAAGAAATGAAAGCAAGGCATATAATATTCTAAAATCTAAAATAAAATAAATTAAAGCTAATTTCTGCCATCAGTGACCTCAGAATTCTTGACCCTGTTACCCTCTTTGACCCTATTATCAGTCTTTTTGAGCCTTGAAACCAAACAGCATTGCTAGAATGGAGTTACATGTTTTCAAGCTTCCCAAAATTTCTAATAGTAAAATTAAAATTACTTATAGGCTGAAGAAGCAGTTTCCTTTTCCTGTAACAACTGTAGTGATGCTGCCAGCCCTCAGTGCTACTTCAGCAGCAATTTGGGAAGCCCAGGCAGAAAACAAACCAAAGAGCTCTTCCCCATAAATATGCTCCAAAAAGAACCTGGAAGATGGGAGAACAGGAAGGCTATTCCTTCACAGTGGTTTAATTCCCCTCAATTTTGGACTTTGAAGTCTCAGGCAGTATTACACTCTGTTTTGCTGTCATTTTATTCTGATTTGCTTCTGATGCTCTGAAGCAAGACTCTATTAGTAGAGATGGTTTCCATAGCAATTACAACTCTCTGAATATGCATGGGACTGCTTCCTCATTGTTTCCAAGGGTTTTTATTTACCAGATGAATGGTGCAAGTTAACTTTATTAGGGAGCTGCAGGGGGTATTTGTTGATATACTGGGGGGAAGGGAGCAGCTATCTTAGCCATGGCTTTGCTGTGTTTGTCAAAGCCACAGTGAATAATCTGGCAATGTTAAAAACCACCATTATCATGGCCCCACTTTGGAGCTGAGTGGCACATGGAAGTGTGCCAGAGCCATTTCAGTTCCCAGGGCATTGTCCTCGTGCAGCCAAACCACACTTTGAGCTGGGAGTGGTTGGGATGTGTGGACATTTTTAATTTTGCTGGCTGTTCTTCAGAGTGGAGTCAAATGGAGTAAGTGGTGTCACAGCTTGTAAAATCCTTCGTGTTTGTGCACTACCAAAACAGGACCAAGTGCTATTTGTGGTCTCTGAACTCTACTGTGATATCAAAAGCAAGTAGTGACAAGTAGATTTGGTCCAGTTCCTGCTGCCTTTTGCCTGTGAATGATCTGTTCACAGGATTTGTGAGTTATGACACAATTCTCCATTATTTCTACTATCTCTGTATCATTTTCTGAATTATACTCTAGTGATATTGCCACAGCTAATAGTTCCACTCAGTAACTTTTACAAATCACAAAAGCACACTTACTTCGTAAGTTAAATTCATTCAGCGCTGGGAATTGCCCAGTAGTTCACTGGGAAGTTATGAAAGCAAGACCCCAAGAGCATGTGTCAGACATGGGAACTATTAGAGTTCTTTAGCAGAAACAAATGTCTGTCTTGACTCTTCTCATACTGTCCAATTTAATTCAGAGGGTGAGCTGTTGTGTTACTCGCTATTTCCTGGCAGATCTTCTACTGGGGAGTCTCTCTTAGTTCCCTTTGTTCTTATATTTTGTCTCTTCCCTGTCCCAGCCTCTGCTGACACTTGATCTGTGGTTTGTCCTCACCAAAGTAGGGCTATAATTTTCTTCTAGAGAGTTGCATCTTGTGTCTGATTATTTGCAGGTTGTTTTGTGACAAGTTCTTTTGTGCTCCCACAGCCCAAACCGAGCGAGCTGCGCAGATTTGTTGTGAGAGGAAGTGTCTGACTCTAGAGCTGCACAGATGGAACGGTGCTGCTTTCACAGGGGATGTGCTACTCAGATTTCAAAGGAACAGCATGGAAAACATCTTATCTGTAAGCTAAGATTCTCCTTGAAGTGTCTGTATTTGGTACACTAAAATGATGGCTGAGTGCATAAGGTGTTTGTTAAGAAATTACCTCAAGCTGTTCAACTCTTTTCCAAACTTCACTGTCATGGATATACTAAATTTTCCCTGGATTTTTTTAGAACGTTTTTTCTTATGAGAAATTTAACAACCATTATGGCCTTAGGTCTCTGTAGAATTTCTGCTGGAGTTTGCCAGCACTTTTCAAAGTAACCACTTGCTTTGCACAAGCACTTTAGACAAGAATTTAGAGTTGAATTCTGGATTCTGCCACGAGATGTGGATATGCTTCTGCTGTGGATCCTAAGGAATCAAAGTTAATTGCAGTAATTTACTGCTGAGCTGTGTGGTGCATATAATCAAAATATATAGACTGACAAGAAAATCTACAGTCAAGCATACTCATTTTAACAAATGAATGGTACAATTTCAGTACCATTAATAACTCATTATGGGTAAGTAGTTTTTCTTCTGCTGTGCCTTCTTTGTCATGCTCTGAATGTACCAAATCTGCCTTCCCATCTTTCTTGTGCTGTTACCAACCACTCTCTCCCCTCTGGAGACTTTGCACAGAACTTCTCACTCTTCTCCACCCTGTACAAGTATATATATACAATATATAAATATATATAAAATATACCTGAACACTGAATACATTTACCTGTGCAAAATACTGAGTGACCCACCATACACAAATTTAGAAAACTGAAGTTGTAACTCTAAGATACTTTTATAAATCTATAAAGTCCCTGTTGATCCAGCTTTGGGTTTTTTTGATTCCTTTAATAAACACAAAACTCCTTGGAAAGGATAGTTACAAAACTGCCATAGAGGTGCTCAACCATAATATAATTATATTTATTAATCCTTGCACACTCTTGCTTAGTAAATTAAATTAAATTCATCAGCTCAGTCTTTAGTATATGGAGCTTTAATTTTGTACCTTTATTTTAATTTTATTTAAATTAAACTCTTACTGCTTACTTTTGGATAAAATGGTGCAAATGTAATCATCATCATAGGAAAACAGTGAGGCAGGAGAAGAGTAATATATATATTAGAAAAAGATGTTGCTAAAATTCAAAGAGAATGCTGACACTTTGAATGTGGCAGTGTATATTGGGCAGCACTTCTGATTTTGAAATATTTTGAAGAGTTTTAGAAAATATATCTTGATCTAACTTTTTAGCCTTTGAAGCTTTACTACGTGACCTCATTTGCAAATATTCATAATCCTGCAAAAGAGATATATAATGAGGTTCTTAAAAACCCTTGAACATTGATTAAAGTACTTTAGAATCCAAAGAATCATACTCCATGCATAATAAAACAAGAGCCTTTATACTAAAACTGCTTACCTGCAAAGTCTTCTAGGCATTTTACTTTTTATTTCTCTCTGCCCTAAAGCTGAGGTTTGATTTCTCCTGCAGCCAAATCTCCCATTTAGATTACCAGGGAAATCAGGATTACACTTTTAATGCCTTATTCAAAATACACATGGATTGGAAAAGGAATGGATAAACAGACAACTGGGGAACAAGCAGATTCGGGTGCTTGTGCCATACTTTGGCCTCTTTTTAACTAGAATGACCTTCCTCATAGGTAGCACTTAATCATCTATTTTTTTGGTCTGAAATAGGAAATACTAAATTATTTCCAATGCCATGTTTTGATAACATTTCAATTTTAATGGTGTGCACCAAAGTAATGAAAATACATAGGTTAAGGATGAATAAATGTGTGTAATTATGCAGCTTCTAAGCACCATATGCAGCACAAAGTATCACTATAAAGTATTTAAGGAGCAGTTGTAATAGTCAGCAACTCTTTTGTTGCTTGGTTTGTCTTGTAATAATGCTTTAATACTTCCTCAATATTTATCCTAATTAACATAATTTTTAATCTCCTACTTTTGGGGAATGAAATAATGGCAGCCCTATTGGACAAATGACTTTGTGTTTCTGGCAGTGTCTCTTGGCACTTCCTTGAAAAGCCCAAGAGAACTTCCAGCTAAAAACCGCCCAAGGGTTTTTTTGATGAAGGAATATGTTTTCAATGGCTCTGTGGCTAATCTTGGGAGTAACTGAAGGTTACAAAGTCACACAAAGGGTCTTTAGATACCTGTGCAAAGTGGTTTGATAGGATCAGCCCAGTATCTCCTGCCTGGGTGTCCATATCACAGACAAACCTGTCCTGATTGGCACTAATTGCCAGCCTTCTTGGCAGGTTGTGCAGCACAGCCCAAAGGCTGCCTGGATACAGAGGAACTGGGGCATCCACCCACGGGCACAGGGAGCTGTTCCTTGTCAGGACTGGCAGCTCTTGGTGGGGTGGGGTGTGAACCTTGAAAGGCCTTTTCCTTTGGTTCTTTTTCTTCATCCTTTCTGTAGATTTTGGTTTTCAGTGTTTCAGAGAAATACTAATGCTTCTCAGGGAAACAAAAATCACTTCAAGACTTAATAAAAAGAAATCAAGTCAACACTGTTCCTGAAATTTCAAACAATAAAGAAGTGTTAGCAGAAGAGATGAGGTATTTTTTCTTGTCACTCATATCTAGAGAGTTGCTATTTTGACTTCTACCAGGAGGGAGAAATGCCATAATGTTTCTCAGTATGGAAGATGAATTCAGGGGAGTGAAGTGGTGATGAATCATCTCAATAGGGGCATGGAATATCCTTTGTAGGGAAACAATCAAGATGCTGTTCTGTTTTTTCCCCCTTAAGTCCCAGCATGTTAGTTAAAAACACAGGGTCTGGATTATTTTAAGGAGATTTTTCTCTACTGCATTCTTTTTGCCTATATGTGTTAATTCAGACAGTCTCTGACTGTTGTAGTCCAAACCAGTATTTTAATAAGCAGCTGGTTTTGGTTATTGTGTTGACATTCATCATGCAGATCTGGTAGAAGCTCCTACGAGCAATTCCTTACTTTCTCTCTTAGGACTTCTGGCTCTCACATTGAAAATTAATTTAAAACTAATTAAAAAGATGAAAATACTTAGGATCATTTATCCTTTTAATTAAATTAGAAGACTTGAGGGAATGTTTGCGGTCATTTTTGACCCCTCACACATTTCAGTCATAAATTAATGGGAAATAAGTTCCCAGAGTCACCTGTGAGCAGTCCCAGGAGTCACATGACTTGCTGCTTTTTCATAAAACTTCTTGAATGTAGCCTGGGAGAATCTGATAGAGGAGTGTTACATCAGACTTTTGAGAAATACCGTCTGCTCCAAACAAAAGTAGGGTTCGAAACATCCAAACATCTTGTGAAGCCTTTACAGTGAGTTACTTGCTGTTACCTTGGGGAATTGCAGTTTATAGACCTCTGGTGATGAACTTGTTTTAATATCCTCTCCTTAAGTAAAATGTACAGTCAAAAATATAAAAATTAAAGTTTTCTTGATAGCATGGCACAGATATGGTTTGTGTGGAGTGCCTCTGGTGACATGGATGTTTTTGGGGTCTGATCCCTTCTGAAGCTCTTGGTAGGACACTGATTCTGTAACAAGGGAATAAGGATCAATCCCACAGTTGTCTCCAGAATCCTGGAAGCCATTTTTTGTTGTGGAAAGTTACCTGGTTTCTCTGACATGGTTTACTTTAATAGCATTGGATTATGGAAACAGTACAGATTAGGGTTCTGTGGTACATGAGTGAGACAAACTCTGCTGCTCTGCAGTTTTGTGTCACCTAAACTGCATTGCAAATGCTTCCTGCTAAGAAGGACCACTAGGCTGAAAATGAAACATTTTTAGTACTAATGTATGGTGTGTTCACTGAGGGCACTCCTGTAAGGTATTCAACCTCTTACAGGAGAACAGGAAAAAATTAAATAGCTGGTTCTGCACCACTTGGTACAAACATGAACCGTTGAAGCATGGAACTGTTTGGGAGAATGTTATGGCAAAATAAAATGAAACAGAAGACTATAAGTAAAAACACTGTGCAGGTTGTTCCTGCTCTTGGTGAAGGTGTGTAAACTGCACGTGAAAGAAAATTTCTGCAGTAAGTAAAACCCTATGGAAAAACACCTAAGGCTAAATCATTACCACAGGCAGAAGTTGAATGGAGCTGTGACATTACACAAGGAATCTCATCCTCCACAAGATGGAGCTGTGTGATTTCTGCTTTTGGAAGCGATTCAGTCTATTAGTAAATGATTCTTTGATTCTGTACAAGGACAGGAGAATCACAGTGATCTATCATTGCTTTCTTACTCAGATGCTAAGGAACTGCTGCAATTTAATTCTAGATGGTCGTGTGGGTGCTAAAAATATTGAATTTAACATGAAAGCCTCTGAATCTAGAAGAAAAGCTGTATTAAAAAGAAAAGAAGAAAAAGAAATCCTTCACCTTTCTCTGTGGAGATCACAGTGATTTGCTTTCCATGAGAGGTCCTGTCAGCTTTTCTTTATTTACTCACTTTGATGATGACTGCAATGCAGATTTCTTTGGAATGGTTTCTTATTATTTATGTTCTGCAACATCTGAATGAGGGAGGGATATGACTGCTTAAATGATAATTCAAACAAGTATTTTCAGCAACATTGATGGACCCCCAGTTCTGGGGTGTTTATTAGGTCTGAGCAGATGTAAGTGAAGTACTTCATCAGCAGAATGGAATACTGTCTTTGAAAGCAATGACTGGAAAAGATCAAGGATTCATAGTAGTAGAAAAATAACAGAACATGAGGTCCTGGTGTGATGCCTTTGCATAAAAAAGTAGTGTAATCCTTTTCCTGAATAAGCAGAGAAGTAAGCAGGGGAGTAAGGACCAGGGGGAACTTGTTTTTCCTCGTTATGTGACATTGGTGCAACTGGCTGAGGAGACCAGAAGGAAACACAGCATATCCAGAACTTCCAGAGCCAGGGACTGGCATCTGCAGGACTGGACAGAACCAAAGGGACTCTCAGTTAGTGTGGGCTGAGAATCACCCAGACAAAGGCCTGGAAAGGTAAAAGAGTC